ATATACACACACACACACAAAGCACAAGGGAAAAATACAGAATAAGAAAAGGAAATAATCATAAAATGCATGACCAAAGCAGGGGAATGGGTTCTATCACCAGTGTCTATGTAAAAAAATTGCACAATAGTGTGTGCTTAGTGCCAGCAAGGCAGAGACAGGAGATCCTTAGAGCTTGCTGGCCAGCCAGTCTAGGTGAACTGGTGGGCTCTAGTTTAGTGAGAAACCCTGTCTCAAAAAATAAGGTAAATGATACTGATACCAGCCTCTGGGCTCTACACGGACATGCCTATACCTGTGAAAACACACACACACAAACAAAAATTCTGTCAAGAGCATCTATATTCCAAACTCACCTGATAATATAGGTGAGATTAACTTATTTCACTAGACTTAATTCTAGTAAAAATACACCAACACTAAAACCATCAGGAGAACAAAAAACAAACAAACAAACAAAACCCCCAAAATCTGAGTTGAACCCCGAGCCATTAGGCTCAGGGCCTCTCCTGTTTTGCTATAGTACCTGCCATCCTGAGCAATGAATTCAGTCTTCATTTATTCTTACACTGATGGGCATATGACTTACTGTAGGTGACGTGATGCCTACCATCAAGGGCCAGACTCTGAACTGCACAAACCTGTATCTGTAATATGGCCCAAAGCAGCAAAGCTGAGAGTAAGCTTTCTCTCAAGGTGCCTGTCACCCTTGGATGGCTCTTCTGCCATACGTGGAAACTTTCTGCTCCTTACCTTAGCAGCTAAAGGAACAAGAGGCGTACCTGACTGCCTGATGAGGGGTTTTCCTTCTGTGCTATGCAGGCATCCCTACCACCTCCTGTCTACAGCACAATAGCCCTAACCAAACCTATTTGCCATGCCTAATCATTTAGAAATCTTTTATTTCCAGCTTCCCAGTTAAAATGATTTCAAACTTACACAAGATTGTAAGAATGGTATAAAGAATTCTGTGGCTTTAACATGCTACTATAGAGATGGGAACCAGGAAATTAATGCTAAGCTAATTATCCATGCTCCCTTATCTATGGTTGTACTTTCTGGAGGGCTCAGTGATTCACAGTCAACTACTATCTGAAAATATTCAATGGGAAATTCCAGAAATAATTCATAAGTTTTCATTTTGTTGCCAATCTAAGCAGCACAATGAAATCTTATGGTCCCGTGCTCCATTTCTGTCTAGTCTATCAGGCTGTGTATTTTGTACCCCTTGTCCCTCTGTAGTTGTCTTGGTGGTTAGACAGAATGTGGCAGTATTACAGCTTTAGGGTTTGTTGAGGCTCCAAAGCAACAAAGCAGTGATGTTGACTATTCAGATGTGACAAGAGAGGAAGAAAAGAGCCTCTTTCAAAAAAAAAAGCAGGAAAGTTCTTGATTTCACAGAACATAATTACATGCTGAAGCTGCCAAGGTAAGACCAAATCTTCTATCTGCCAAACTATAAGAAAAAATAGATTCATGACAGTTTGACAACTTTACTTCTGTAATAGTCATATAGGGCTAAAGTAGGAGCAGAGGCAGGAAGGTTGCATTTAAGACAGCTTCAACTACACAGTGAGACCTTCTCTCTCTCTCTCAAAAAAAAAAAAAAAAAAAAGTTATGGCCCTAGTGTATGACAGGGATCCAATTAAGAAGGAGAGGCACTAAATTTGTGGGTGATATTTAAACTGATGTCAGTGTCACCAGAAAGCACTGAGCCTGTAAAAATTTTGGGGAGGGGGTCCCCTGAGGAACATCAAGGCATTTAGTTCAATGAGGGATTACTGTACAGATTCAAGTAGAAATGGGCTGACGAGTATGAGCATTACTGCTGGGGCTATGCACCAGTGGAGACACTGCTGCCTCATGGAAACTACATTCACAAAACACAATATCTAGACACGCACCTATAAACCAAACACTCAGGAGGTTGAAGCAGAAGGATTGAGAATTGAAGGCCAGCCTGAGCTATACAAGGAGATTTTTAAAGCCAACAAAAATATGCAAAGGAAGGCAGAATGGGCAGAATAGCTTAAAATACAGAAGCACAGACCAATTCTGGCATTATGTGAAGTGCCACAGGGCACATGATAAAGCCAGGCACAATGTACACAGCCAGAAATTCACTCACAAAAGCAAGTCACTTACCCTGTTGCTGCAACTTATAGTGTTGCTGGTGGCCACCTTGTTTATGAGACAGTTCTACCAACACTTAATCTCAGAACTGAAAAAAAACCTTGGCAGACAAAAAGTTGGCATTCAAAGCCTTATTAACAAGACACTTGGCTGTCAGTATCTGCCAATAAAATGAAAATGTTAAGGTTGTATTTTTACTCCAAACACACCATTGCTTCAGCCCTGTAAATAGGGTACCATCCAGCTTGAGGAGGTTACACTGGGTTAGTTAGCATCAAGTCTACAAATGACCAGATTAGCTTACCTAAAGTTAGCGCTGGCGGTGCAGGATCTAGAACATACTCCCTTTCTGGATCTTCCACTTTGGGGCCCTCTGTAGTTTTTCTAAGCCCAGTATCTATTATGGCCGTTGTGTCTCTTTTGAGAGATTTTGTCTTGTTCTCATTCTTTTGCACATTTGTCTTACAAGGGTCTGCTACCGAGAGATGTCCAAGTTGAAGATCATGTAAAATGTGGTCCTGTAAGGCAACTGCAGTGACTGCTAAGTTACCTTTTTTAGATGAATGATCCTAAAAAGTAGGAGGTCGGGGTTGTCTTACTTACTGAAACAGTGTGTAACAAACATCTTTTAGAAGGAAACTGAAGCTTTGTGCTCCACTGGTGGCAAATTAGCAAATCAATGGGAAGGAATGCCAGAGCCACTGTACCCAAGTCAGCAAACCCAGATCCAACATCTACGTTAGAAACCAAGGAAACCTTTTCATTTAATTTCTGGAGCCAATTATAAACCAATACATTTAAACCTGTGTGTGCCTAAATAAACACCTGCTGTTTTGCTATAACTGAATTAGACTCCAGGCAAACACTATGCTTTTAAGCATTTTAAAGCATTTGCTGCAGGACCAGGTTCTTGAGCCAGGAGAGGTCTGCACACAACACTTACTGTTACCCACACCTCCCACTCCTGCTCACGGCTCCTCATGGACACAAGGTTTATAAACTATTTTTATGCTCAAAGAAGGTACAGTTTGATTACATCCCAAGAGTGAAACTATGGGTCGGTTTTGAGGAGGACGAAATACCTTATTTTTTAACATGCTCAATCAGGAAACACCGTGGCGTGGCTTCAACAAAGTCTAGCATCACATTACAATTCCTTCCATTCTTCTGCTGTGAACAGAAAGTGAGTGTTGGTAAACATTCAGATCTCCTAGGGTTATGGAGATGATAACAGGAATGCCAGCTGCAGGGCAGCACAGAGCTACACTTTCCAGCTTACAGTCATAGCCCAGTCCATCCCTGTCCTCCAGTAGCTTCCCACAGTGCTGGAAAGAATGTGAACACAAAGAACATCTAGCAGCAAAAACGGGGGTTTAGAGTGACGTCTCAGACTAAAATCAGACACTAAGTGAACAACCCTTAAAGACAACACTTAAGCCAAGTCTTGAAGAAAGAAATGCGCATGTTGGATAACACGAGCAACAGCAAAGATGTTCAGGAAACCCGCATGCACGTTTGTTTTTTCAGGGAGAAAGGAAACAAGAAGCAGGTATAAGGGGCCTGCTGTTTATCTTCAACCTGCCCAACACATAGCTGGACAGAAGACGAGGATGGACTCACTGAGTCCCAACCTGCTTTCTGCTTTTTGGGGTAAGCTATCTAAACATCTCTGGCTCAGTTTTTGTATCTATAAAAACACAAAACCACTGACATCGCAGGATTATTATACAAAAGAAGAAAACATCCTAAGGGCTTACAGAGGACTGTTCTGCATAAGATACTCTGCAAATGGTTACCGTTGCTCCCATCCCCTCAAAAGCTGGGGGAAATATTTGGTATTGCCCCTTTTAGTTTTGGGACCATGGTGTTATATTATTTTCTTTTTGCCAATTTTTATTAATACCTTGAGAATTTCAATACAATATTTTTTATTTAATAAATTTATTTATTTCATGGTGTTATTTTTAGGAAGGCAAGAGTGTATAATATTCTACAATGGAAACAGCACTTTTTAAATAGCAATCTAGGAAACAGCATCGAGGGAATAACTCTCAGAAGGGGGCTGGCAGAGCAGCTGTCTCCCACGCATGCATAAAACGCCTTCTCTTCTAACCCCAGCATTACAATTTAAGAGTACAGGAAAGTGAGCTTCATAGGAACTAACATGTGAGACACCTGCTTTAAGACTAAGAAAAGAGTCTCTGCAGGGCCTCTACTCCCTGCATACTGCCTCTTTCTTCCTATCCCACCCAGCTTGCATCCAGAACCTCCCCCCTTCTGCCCCTCTGCCCTGTTTGGGCACATAACATCACCCAGCTCAGCCTGTCTGGGCATTGGGTCCGAATCCTCAGGGCACCCAGGCGGGCAGGAGTTCCTTTGTTTCAATAGCCTGCCTGCACCAAGCAAGGTAGGCTCTTTGTTTACGAGCTACCCAACCAGCACGGAGACCTGATCCTGGCGCCAGGAGAGCCAGCATTGGGGAGAGCCATCACTGGGAAGGTAGTGATGACCTTCACTAGTCAGTAGGCAAGAAGACCTGATCCTGTTAAAAAAAGATCCATAGGGGAGCATTCAGAGGAAGAGATGGGCAGGCGCCAATGCAAGAATTCACCCAACAATCTGAAAAGCAACATGAAACCACCAGAAACCAGCGACCTCACAACAGGAGGACATGAACACCTTAATCAAGAAGAAGTAGAAAAAATTGACTTTATGAAAGTGATTGACGCCCTTAAACAGCATGTAAAGAACACCCTTATAGAAATGGATGAGAAGTATAACAGAAAGTTTGAAGAATTGAATAAATCAGTGAATGATACCCTAGAAAACCAAGGAAAAACAATCAAACAGATAATGGAAACAGTTCAAGACTTGAAAACTGAAATGGAGGCAAAGAAGAAAACACAAACAGAGGGTCGGCTGCACATGGAAAATTTAAGTAAACAAACAGAGACTACAGAAACAAGCATAATCAACAGAATACAAGAGATAGAAGAAAGATTCTAAGATTCTGAAGATACCATAGAGAAAATAAACACACTGATCAAAGAAAACAGCAAGTCCAACAAACTCTCATCACAAAACATTCAGGAAATCTGGGACACAATAAAAAGACCTAACATAAGAATAATAGGAGTAGAAGAAGGAAAAGAAGTGCAGCTCAATGGTCCAGAAAATATATTTAATAAAATTATAGAAGAAAACTTTCCCAACCTAAAGAAAGATATACCCTATGAAGGTTCAAGAAGCATACAGAACACCAAATAGGCTGGATCCAAAAAAAAAA